AGTAGCAAATATTTTTAATAAACAATTCAAAAGCAACGGCTCTGTTCAAATGAGAAATGAACTGGTTCAAACCAAACTGAGTACCAATAAAAATTCTATAAAAAGGACCAAATAGTTGTGATAGAACCAAAACAGACAAAAGTTTGATCCGATTCTTTTTACACTTCAAAAAATTGTTCGAGTGTCAGTCAACACCTATGTATATTTTCTTACTTCATTTTCATACTTCCAGTTTTAGGAGACAATAAGTGTTGATAAATTCCATACTGCTCAAACTATTGTGAATGCACTTTCAGAGTTATAAAGGTGGCAAAAACCATCCTATTTCATTGAAATAGTCGTAGCTAATACTTTACCTGTTTATAAGCAAGCGCCATCGAAACAGCACCTCGCATAAGACCAGCCCACCATATTGTAATCTGCCCATCACAAATGGGAGCATTGTTAGATAGCCCGAACAAATGAAGGGTGTTATACAATTGAAATGATAAGTTTTGAGCTCGTACTTGCTTCTTAAAGTCAATTTTCTCATATGGAGATTTCTTGGTCAAGTTAGACAGGAATGATAGAGGAAAAACGAAGGCTGCTCGTCCAACCAAAACCAATCCCAATAGAACTCCACTGACAGAAATTGACGTCTGCGGGCTGACAATAAACAAATTAGTTAATAATTCTAACCAAATAGTACACAATCCCTTCTTGTATTGGGCCAATTTCACTACATCCAAATAAAAGTAGAGACCCTTTATTTATAGAACAATTTATTTGCAATTAGAATCTATAAGCAAAGCACAGCAGAGCCTCTAGAAGGAGGAGCATACCTGCTACTTACGAAACGCCACTTCTCAATGTCAAGAGCATCCATGCCAACATAAAGAAATATGAATATTTCAGCAACAAATGACAATGTGGCAAAGGTGTGCCTGCAGAATAGTTGAAGATACAAATCAATAAGATACGTCAATTAGTATGTAACTTGAGGTTTGGGAAGTGTCATAAGCAACATCGTATTCTAAAAGTTTTATGCTAAGATAATAAGGTAACGCCATACTTGGTCGTGATTCTTGACTTCTCGGTGACATTATGCCAGGTGTAGTGTGACATCACAATCCCGCAGAAGAACACAGTGAGGATAGCACTTAAATTAAATAACTACACAACATATCAGGCAGAAAGAAGAGGTTCATTTGTTATATCAGAACACTTGGTAAAAGCTTCTTACAAGTTGTCAAAGAAGAATGCCATGTTCTATAAGCTCCTTAAAAGTTGTCTACAATACTTACTTCGGATAGCATGTATGAAAGATATGCCAAAAGCATCATAATGGCAACCTCACGATCTGTGGAATGCCTGTAGTTTATCAAAAAATAAGTCAGAGAAATTAGAGAAGTGCAGAATCAGCCTTTACCTTAACAAATGGTTTCTTTTAACATATGAAGTCAATCAATCAAAACATTAATGAAAACCTCCTGCAATTTTTAAATTCATTATGTGGTAGAGTGGTTATATGGAATATGCACATATCTGACCCCATTCAGGTTCAGATAAGTTGGCCTAAAAACCCATATCTGACTTGAACATATTCTATCGAAAATAAAAATCCACATATCTGGTGCACAAAAACTTGACAATTTTATTGAAAAATTACAAGACCTAAGAACTTTTTTGAACTCTTGTACAAACTTAAATTTGATGAGAAAAGAAAATAACAAGTATCAACTTCAACTTAATTGAGGCTGAGATCAAAATTACATGTATGGATATCCTCACAAACCTTCCAAAGTAAAGCTTCTTTATGACATATGCACTAAGCAATCCAGCCTGCAGCAGATGAAAAATGTGACAAATTACACAGTTCAGAAGAATTGATAAGCTTAAACTCACAACAAGCCTCCCAGAGAAAATGGGAGAGGAGAGAAAGAGGGGGAGGGATGAATTAATACTCACGACAACTCCCAATATGGTGCTTGTGATGAACAAATATAAAAAATTTCCAACTAGCCCCAAAGCTACAGTTGTGTTTAATTGAGTCAGATCAAAGTTCTGTACTGCATTGAAGAGGACCACGGATGTCGCATCATTTACAACTCCTTCCCCGAAGACTAGACTGTACAATAAAGGTGTCTCATCCTGATTTAGCACCTGTAGCATCAAATATAATGCATCAGGCAGTGAAGCAAGATTTTCAGTTATGATTACAACAGAATAATGCGGCAAAATTTACCTGTAAGGTGCAAACTGAATCTGTTGCAGCGAAAATTGCTCCAAGTGCTGAAGACAGGTGAGTTCAGTTAGGAACAACGACAAAAATATTAGGATTTACAATGTGCGTGTGCGTATGTGTGTGTGTGTGTGAGAGAGAGAGAGAGAGAGAGTACCAAGATAATCTCCAATTTCCAGATCAATATCCATTGGCCGGAGAAGTCCAATAGCACCTGTCACAGAGTTTTGAAGACATAGACAACATCACTATCATTTATGTTCTAACAGATGAAATGAATTGACAAATAAGTATATAGAATTATTCAGAACTCAAAAAAATCGAAGAAAATTGTTCTTTCGCTTTTCAAAATTTCGCTTCTGATCTGCAAAATCCGTGTCGTTCAAGACAAGCAAGAAACAAATATACAAATGTCCCTTGTCCCGCATCAGTACTTCTCTCTCCAAAATTCAAAAGAAAGAGAATAGCTTAATTAGGTTATGAAACACGGGCTATTTAGACGCTAGAATTAGGGTCTACAAGAGGAACTAGAGTTCAATTGCAACTAAAACACTGAGATGTACATTGAAGCAACAGTAAGCCTTTCTTACGGGCGTTTTCCCCTATGATTGAGCACAGTTTTTCTTCAAAGGGTTTGATGACATGTAAAATCATAGCATAGCATATCAAAGCCCATAGGTAAAGAATATAGGTTTGTAGGTTAATATGGTAGACACACAAAAGATATGTCTAGCCGGCACCCATTTGTGAAAATGTTGCACGTAACATGTCTTTGATGAAAAATGAGTCTTAACTGCAAGTAAGGAAGCGTGTTGATGATTATATTTAAATATATACATGGCCCTCCTTTTTAATGGCTTAAGCTTATAGATGAGGTAGTTCACAGTAATAAATTAGATAACTTCTTACATGTGACAAATTAGAAAATGTAGAATCAATACTCATTAAAAGGTTTGCATCAGCTGGCTAAGAAGATTTTTTTTTTTTTCAATTATTGTTGAATCTGTTTAGTTCTTTCCATAAAGATCTGAAAGAGAGAGAGGCATTAATGCTTCCTTATTAGATATAACAGATTTTGCTTAGACTAGATATACAAGAATAGGTAAAATATGCATACCCAATGATATAACAACGAACGATATCAAAGTACCAAGTGCTCCAAACAGCATTATAGTTGAGAAATTGCGAAAGAATTGTTTCTTTTTGACCTGGAACCTGATGAATAGTGTATGTAAGTAGAATGAAGAAAGAAAATAATAGAATATATTCTCCTTATTGATTAGTAAAGATAATACATGTATATATACAAAACCTAGGAAACTAACTTAGGAAAGTATGCAAATTAGGAAAACCTAGAATTATGGTAATTAGCCAACTAATTACAATCTGTAACACTCCCCCTCAAGTTGGAGCATAGATATTAATCATGCCCAACTTGTTACATAGATAATTTACCCGAGCCCCATTTAAAACTTTCGTGAAGATATCTCCTAATTGTTTTCCAGTCTTCACATACCCGGTAGAAATCAAGCCTTCCTGAATTTTCTCGCGAACAAAATGACAATCAATTTCAATATGCTTAGTTCGCTCATGAAATACAGGATTAGATGCAATATGAAGGGCAGCTTGATTATCACACCACAATTTTGCTGGTACTGAGATTTTAAGACCGATTTCAGTCAATAGTTGACATATCCACATTATCTCACACACAGATTGTGCCATAGACCTATATTCTGCCTCTGCACTCGATCTTGACACAACATTCTGCTTCTTACTCTTCCATGAGACCAAATTTCCTCCAACGAAAACACAATAACCTGATGTGGATCTTCTATCCACCTTGGAACCTGCCCAATCTGCATCTGAAAAACATTGAATACGAGTGTGCCCATGATTTGCATATAAGATACACTCGTATTGAATGTTTGCATATACAAGTGTTAACTAATCTCTTGACTGCCCAATCCATAACCCATGATTTGCATATAAGAATGAATTCTTGTATGTCTTGCAGTGCAAAAGAGCTTGAACATAATATCTAAAGAATAAGTAAAATTATAAAAACAAAATACTAATATTGTATTTTGAAAACCCTGACATACCCTGCATTAAAAATGATTGGTGGAAGAAGATAAATGAAGAAAAGATCTTCGCTGAAGATCAAAAGACGCGACTTTTTTCCTCCACTTATTAGTAGAATCACTACTCCAGTGCATACACCCTGTCATTTAAATCACAAACAATTACATAAATACACAGAAACAGGCATGAATAATGTAAACACTCAAACTCCACATTTGTACCCATATGCACTCATATATACTTACAAGTATAAGGGGCGTGATGGATTCATTCATCCAGCGATTTCCCTCCAAGAGGTGACCGATTATGATACATGCACAAAGGAGTGCAACAAATAAGTTAATGGCAACCACTGAAGCGTTGTCCGTGTTCGATAAGATGTTCATCTTTTGTAGCGTAGTTCCCAAGTCAAACCCCATTTGTTCAGAGACTCAAATTCCAGTTAGTACTAAATTTCCGGCAGATCTCACTTCAGTGTTTTGAAATCTGATCTCTGATCCTCATCCAATAAACAGAAATTAGCTCTCACGTAGAAAAATTGTCAGTGCCATACAAGGAAAAACACAAATTTACAATTATTAAGTCAATCAATTTAAGAAAAGCTCAACTTTCTTACAGTTAACAGCAAGCATATGCATATGCATACAATTTTCATTTCTTTTTGGGGCACGCATATCTATTAAATGTGAAAGAACACATAACATGTAGTGTCCAGATCCAAAAATACACAAAAATTAGCTTTACAAATAGTTGCTTCAGGAATAAACAAACATACGTGTAAGCATAAATACGTAAAAAAAGTACATAAATGTTAAAAAATTTAAAAAAATGTAAATTTACCTGAGGAATTCGAGAAAAATACATACTGTGAAGTCCGAGCTAGATCTCAATTTTGGAAGCCCGACAAACAACTCAATTACCAATAGAATTGCTTCTTTTTTTAAAAAAAATATAAACACCTATCTTCCCCAAAATCACACATTATTTAAAATCAAAGTCGACTTACTTGCTCAAAACACCCAAAAAAAACCAATAAGCAGAAAAACTGCAGAATTCAGGGTCAAGTGCAGATTCAAACCTCTTTTCTTATCAACTGAAAAATCAAAGCTTTATTTCCCAAAAATTGAAAACTAAAAGCAGCAGCTTGACGGATTTGAAATTTTTCTTCAATTTCACAAAATTAGTTAACGAAAAATCCTGAGCCTGAAGCTAACTTGTTAGCTTTACTCAACTTATAATTTGTTGAAAGAGAAAATGACAGAGGGCATGTTAGTATACGTGACGAAGAGCAATCGACAGTGTTTTGGCATGCTTTTGTTGAAATCATAGATTTGCGTATTTGATACTCGTGATTCTAAAATAAAGTAATGCCAAGTTACTCCACTCCGCTGGGATTACGACTTCAATCTAAATGGTATTAATGTGACATTAAATTATAGATGAAATTATTTAATCGATCATTTAAAATCATTTAGACTGGAGTTGTAACCCCAATAGGCCACTCCGCTGGGATTACGACTTCAATCTAAATGGTATTAATGTGACATTAAATTATAGATGAAATTATTTAATCGATCATTTAAAATCATTTAGACTGGAGTTGTAACCCCAATAGGGCTAAGCGGCTCAAACAGGGTGTAAATAGAAAATTTTAGTATTTGATGCTATTAAAGGAAATATTAAGCTCTTGTTTGTTTGATTCCATTATTTTTAAAAATATATTTTTCTCTTTTATTTTCAATCACATTTTTCAATAAAATAATATTACACGTAAATTTTAAAAAATTCCTTATTTTTTAACCATACATTCTTTACAAAATACATTTTCATAAGAAAAAAAAATAGGGTTCAAGGAGGCTCTAAGTTGAGAACATTAGTTCGCTTAGTATAAAGCACTTGTCGCTAATGATGCGACGAGATTACTAACAACCGATGACATAAATTATCGAAAAGTGCTCCAACGATATCATCTTATGTATAAACATATATATAGAGAGATATAGAGTGCGTTCGATAGATATTATTGAGGGAATAATGTATTTTAAGTGCTTGTTTGGTAAAGATTAAAATTCAATTAAAATTGAAAATATAGTCGTTATTGAGTCTCGTTTGTCTAATAAAAGTCAACAATAAAGGTTAATTTTTCAATTTTAATCCGATTTTAATTTCTACCGAACACGTCCAGTGATATGATGAGAAACATGTGGCTAAAAAGTAAGAAAAAATTATTGATGTGATGAAAAATATTATAATATTAAAAATGTATAGTTGAAAATGAATTTTAAAAAAATGTGCTTCAAATAACGACATAGTCGCAAATTATCTATCCAGTCTATCGCAGGTGTTTGCTTACTGAAAAGTTTGTCGGGCCCATGTGATGGGCCCTCCTATTACAATATTTTGCAGAGCACTGACATCATAATGTACAATTCTTATTTCACACCTCTACGCCAACTTTAGCCTAGTTTGTCACTCATTATTTCAACACATTGTTTGCTACAGTAAGAATGTAAGATTTTTCACCATACATTTATCCAGTAAAATATTCTACATACAAACCAATAGAGTTACTTTAAATTTCAACCACACATCCTTCAAAAAATAATATTCATTACTCCATTTTTTCCACAATAATGAGAGACAAACACACACTTACTGTAAGTACTATTAGGCAAGAAAAATATATTATTGTGGCAATCTAGTTATATATCGATAACTATTACAATCTTATAATTCGCAAATCAAAATACATTTCTTGGCATGTTAGAATGGACCAACCTCATAAAAACATTAAATTTATGCTAGTTTTGAAATATTATCTTGAAATTGCAAAGATCTTTTTTCAAACTTATCTAGAAGAAAATGAAAATCTGCCCAAAAATATCTTGAAGTGCGTATTAGTTTGTTTGTACCAACATAATACATTTTTGTCATAAGGCAATTGTCAACGTGGCATTTTTCTTCTTAAAAGAATGTAATTTTTTTCTCCTTGAAATTGGAGTTTAAGCAAATATCTACACATTAGTGTGGTAGAAATAAGGAAATTACTTATCCCTACTATCTTGAAAGAGGCAATCTATCGCTTACTGTTCATTTGTGAATCTTTTTTTATCCCACTTTATACATATCCATTCTTTACTGTTCATCCAAGCTTTAAGGCTCCGTTTGATACACCATATTTTCCAACTTTTGTAGTGTTTGATAGGCAAAATTTTCCCGAGAAAATGTTTTCCAACTTTTCAAAATTTCCACATTTTTTAGGAAAATAAATTCTTTATGTTTTGGTTAGTAAATATTTTCCAATTTTTTTTTTTTAATTGCAATTGGAAAAAATTTTAAACACAATGGTAAAAAAAAAATTATCATTTTTATTGACAATTTTCATGCAAAATAAAGCCAAATGAATGGTATTCGGTATGGTAAAAAAATTCAATTTTTTTTTTTGGCAATTAGAACAAATTCTAGACCCAATAGTAAAAAAATTATCATGTTAATAGACAATTTTCATAAAAACGAAGCCAAACGGATACCAAACTTTCAACATTTTCTATGAAAAATTATACAAATCAAACACAATTAATTACAATTCTCAGTAAAACAATTTTTAGGCAAATCAATTCCCAATAAAACATTTTCTTTCCATCCATTTTCCACATTCACAATCAAACGGACCCTTAGGGTAATTCGATTTCCTTCTATCCATACCCACAATTGTTGGCTTTGAACCCTATTTTTTTTTTACTTTTTTATCTTAAAAGAGGCAACATACCGTTTACTGTTCATTTGTGAAACTTTTTTTCCAAAGACAATCAATCGTTTACTTGATTAGTGTTTATAAATTTGGTTAATATTATTTTTAAATGTATCGTACATTTTTAAAATATACAAGATAAAAATAATTTTGTTTTGCTATGGGTTTATCGTAGATTATTGTTACCACTGTAAAAAAAAAAAAAAAAACTCTGCACACCGCTCCACACGGCACGGAGTCACACTCTGCACCGTGCGGAGTGTGAAAAAAAAAAAATTTCTCCGCACAGCGCTAAGTCCCACTCCGCACTGTATGGAGTGTGAAGGAAAAAAAAAACAAAACTCTTCGCACTGTGCGGAGTGTGAAGGAAAAAAAAATTCTCCACACAACGCGGAGTGTAGTCTCTGCACATCGCGGACATCAGATGTCTGGTGTCCGCACACCAGTGTCTACGTTGTGCGGACACGGTGTCCACACAGAGCGGATTTTTTTTTTTTTTTAATATTGGATTACAGTTAATGTTAGTATCAGTTTTTCAGATCTGAGTATTAGCAAATGGATTGCCTTAGTTCATCTCTTTGAAAATTCTGAATATTACTTCACATTTATTGTACGATGAAGATAGTAAAATCAAACGGAAGCAGCACTGGTCACATGGATTGTTCGAATAGTTTTGACATACTAGAGTTAATTCATATATGGACGTGATAAAAATTTGTAATTCGTGTATGATTTTTGTTATAGGGGTAAAGTTCATGTATAGTTTATATTGTTAAGTGTTTGTCACGTCATTGCCACATAGGCAATTATTACGTTAGTTTTGACCCACAAAAGTTTATAAATTTATGGATGGGATAAAGTTTGTGAAATTTTATTGGACTTTGATAAAAAGATGAGCTCATATACCGTTCATACATTTAGCTTGCTAAATAATAGTCAAATGAACAATCAAACGAGAATAGCATACTTCAACTCACTAATTAACATAATCTAGATAAGATCGAAATAGGATTTTGAAAATTCAGAAAAAAAAATAATACTCTCCTCTACATTATTTTTTGAAATTTAGAATACATTATTTTTTAAAATCTCTAAATTTCGAAGAAAAATGCATTTCAACTTTGTTGGATAATGTAGCATCGTGGCAACATTTAAATTATTCTCATTATATTTGAATTCTGGCTCAAAAGTCTAATATTTTTTATATAATGATTTTTTATAGTGCAATATACAAAAAAATCGCTCCACCATATTACGCTGAAATGGACATTAAAGAAATTTGAGAAAACTGTCTAATCAAATGACATTTAACAAATTGAGTTATAAAATATTACTCATTAAAACTTTGAGATTTTTATAAGGATTTAAACTAAACATGTATTCTCAGTATTAAGTGCGAGAAATTAGTGGCTAAAAATAATACACAACGCATCATATTGTGTTATCTGCATCATCGCATTCACTTGACAATCTGAAAAGATAACTCGATTGCAAGATGCACTTACTGACCTATTAGAGATTTATAAAATCTTATATATAAGCTACAGATGCTCTAACTCGTATTAATGTCAATATTTTGACAGAAGGTTCTCATTGGATGTTGTTCATTTGCTTTTCATCTTGTTAAAAAAATTTCTTTTTCCTTTTTCCTAAATTTAATTAATGATT